CATATATTTTTTTGTTTTTAAAAACATATAAATTATAACAGTACTAAACACATTTTCTAAAAGCAAAAAATAAAAAATAAAATAAAAACTAAACAGACTAAAAATAAAAATAAAAATAAAAAATAGAAAGTGATCCCAAACAGACCTTTAGTTTATCACTCATATAATTTTTTTTCTAAAATTGAAACCCAAGTTAAATCGGTTAACTATTGAGCTTAAAATGGTTGGAGGAACAAGTTAATTGTCAACTAAATTTTTGGTTCCAGTTAACTGAAGAACTTCTCCAAGCACAACTCTCTTGTTGGTGCTTAAATTGAAAGCCAAGGAGGTAAAACAAAATAATGAAAGTTGTTCTAAAGGAAATGTTTGCTAGCCACTGCATCTAGCCTCATTACAGAATACAAGGAAAGATTATCATTTGCATTTCTGAACTGAAAGCTAAGGCTTTAATAATCCACACGCATTGTATTCCAATCAGTCATCTGTTTGAGCCCATCATTGTTATGTCATTTTCAAAAAATTTTGTTGTGAAAAACTGTTGAAGCATATCAATTCTAAGAAAGCAAATTGTCAATTTTTTGTAAGAAAATATTTATAATGTTGTGAATATGAAAATTGGTTCACTCTTTAAAAATGTTTGGCAGCAAATTGGATTTGATACTCGAAATTAATTGCTAAATTAATTGCTTCTAATTCCTTCTATGATTTGCTGCAGAAGAAAAAAAGAAATAATTAATGGACTTCATTAATTATTTGATTAATTCTTTAATAGGTCTAATGACATGATTAAATTAATAAATAGACATGCTAGCTCCCCTTGTAATCTCTTTCGGGAAGTGGTTTCCCAGACTTTTTCTTTGGCATTGGTAGCTTTCCAGGTTCTTCTTCTGGTGTGCTTCGGTTTGAAGCTCTCGGGTGGAGAGAGAGAAGGAGAGGAGAGAGAAGATAAAGAGAAGAGAGAAATTTTTTCTTGTAATCGTCGAGACGATTGACGGGTGTAATCCTCGAGTAATAAAATCCTCTGCAGCTCCGTGGACGTAGGCAATTTGTCGAACCACGTAAATCTATGTGTTTCGTTGTTTTCAATTTTTCGATTTTTCTCGATCTGATTTTTCGCTTTATTGTCGTCGCTTTTTCACAACATATAATACATACAACATGTTAGGTATGACTCATATGCCATATAAGGGACAGATGTTGAACAAAGTAGAGTGGAGCGGGAGCATCTGTCCAATTAGAAGAGCATCATTAAGTGGGTTGGGGGTGCGAGGGCAAGGGCAACGCCCTTGTAGTACGATATAAGATATATATATCGTGTTTGTAACCCTAATAGGGTAGAACTTTGCTTCAAGAAATCGAAAGCCATTGCTATTCGCTCTCAAGGATGTAGGCACATTGCCAGACCTCATTAAATCACTGTGTTCTTTTCTTTCTTGTATTCTTCATTCATATTCTTGTGATTATTAGTGTAATTTCTCAACACAACAACATTCAAAAAAAATATTTTTTTCAACTGTAGCTCTGCAACCATATTTATAAGGAGTTCAAGCTGCCCAAAACGACGTATCAGTTGTTGGCTTACTACGATAGTTTGAAGTTTTGTTTAGAAGCATGCTACAGTAAACTATGTTATGTTCTGCAATTTCCTGGAACAACATAATATTATATAGAAATATGACAGAAGTTCGTAAGCATATATTTAAAATGGAAAAGTTGAATGAAATATGCCAAAAAAGTTGAATAATTACTTAACTAAAATCAATTGAATTTACAAATATAAACATACATGTAAACATAAATTTTTTTCTCAAAGTATGAATTATGAGGATTACTGAAGTAAGTTCTAATCATGCAAAAGACAGACAAGATCATCAATTTAGATAAAGGAGAGATTAAATCATATTATTTATCAAATAAATATGAATGATATTAAACTAATCTAAGTAAACAGCATTAAATTTTCAAATAAATCACCTACAATAATTATAAAATTGTCATTACATATATTTTTGATCTAATGAGGTAAAACACCCTAAATATTCTAGTCATTTTAATCACAAGAGCATCTTCACCCTTCCAAATCAATCCCAATGACTCCCATCCTAATATTAATCAATGCTTAGTACATTCACACTTATATTGAACAAAGTAGTAAATTCATTAAAAAAATTTTCATATTGCATAAAAAAATCTTCTTTTTGATCTACTCTAGACATTTCAATCACAATAGCATCTTCATCCCTCCAAATCATTCATAATGTCTCACATCCTAATGTTAAGCAATGCCTTTTTATTATATTGACTCATATATAGAACCAAGTTGTAAAATCATTAAAACATTTTGTTATTACATATTGCATCAAAAAATTTTCTTTTTGATCTAAAGATGTGAAGACAGTAAATACTTTAGACATTTTAATCAAAATAGCATCTTCATCCTCCCAAACCATGCTCAATGTCGCATATCCTAATATTAATCAAATATTTCTGATCACATTAAATCCTATATATAAATTAAGTTGCAAAATCATTATGAAAAATTTTCATTGCAAAATACATTAAGAAAAAGTTCTTTTTCTAAAGAAGTAGAACGCCCTAAATTAACCATTCTCAATGTCTCACATCCTAATATTAGTCAATGTTTCTTTATTACGTTGCCCCTTATATAGAACTAAGTTATAAAATCATTAAAAATTTTGTCATTACATATTGTCTCAAAGAAATTTCTTTTTGATCTGAAGATGTAGAACACCCTAAATACTCTAAATATGTTAATCACATTTTTCTTTACATATTTTTAAAACAACATAAAA